CTCCTAGGATGTGTTGTGTATGAGACGTCGACTGTCATTATAATATTTTTCTTTCATGCCGACTAACCTGTCAGTATGAGTTAGCATTTTGCTAAGTTGGAAAGTTTGTGACTCGTGCGTCCATTTGTATGCGAGATGTACCATGTCTGTGTATGGAGCTCGTGCTGAGTTTTGCAATCTCCTTCCTAGGGAGAAAAAAACAAAATAAATTTTAAACGAATGTTACGATAAATAGAAAATTGCCAGCATTAGGCCAATGCTGTCATTTTTTAAAGAATATCTTCTTTTTGCATTAAAAATTCGTTTAATCTCCATTGTTATCTCTCTCTCTCTCAATAAAAAGGTGAAACATATTGCTTAGCAAAACAGCCCGTGCAAGTTCATTTCTAGAGCAACTGTAGTTTCTATTGAGGGTTCGGTTTAGAGAACAAAGCAAACGGAACCAAATTCAATTTATTCATCAAAACTTAGAGATATATTCAATTTTTTTATGTAGTGATTTTGTTTCGATTTGGATTAAGTTTAAAAATTTTTATGAGATATGTTTCATAATCAATATATGTACTAGTACATGTTAAAAAAATTCTTAATGATGATAAATATTTTAAATATATGATCGCTGCATTTATATATTAAAAACTAATATGTTATCCACTTATCTTTAAAATACATGGTGGTCAATTTTAAAAATATAAAAAATGGTTATAGATAGCATTTAGTTAATTATTTTTAACACCAATTTCGATTTCTGAGCCTATCTTAGTTGGTGATCCAGTTTGGGCTCATCCTTTCCCTCGTGCAAAAGTAGCCAGGAAGGGATTTAGCCTAGTATCTTGCTTGAAATCAATCCTTTTTCTTGCTCAATTCTCTCTAAGATTTTTTTGCTAGTTAAATACGCAAACTAATTGTCGGGTTGACAAAAAATTTAAGGAAGTTAATATATATATATATATATATATATGCATGTATGTATGTTTGTATGTAATAGGAATATGATAAGGCTCACTTTGGCTTGGTTTTAAGTCTGAAAAAGCAAGACCCGAACCAAGCTTATCGATAATCAAATTGATTTGTTGTAACCGATTTATATTGTTTTTGAACATGTTTAATTTCTACTATAAAACAACAAAAGTCTTAAGTGAAAGTGTTTGGAGATCAATTTTAAAAATCACAATTTTGAGCGTGAAATGAGAAGATTTGAATTTGGTAAATGACCCAGTTATATTTAGTGATTTGAATTTTTAAAGAAAAATGTATCTCAATAATTTTTAAATGTTGACAAAATCCAATTGTTGGCACTAGTGGATAGATTTTTAAGCCCAAGTCATGCCAGTAACACTGTCTTTAAGAGTTATTTTGTCATATCGAGTTAATTGTGCGGCAACTTTTTATAATTAAACAGACTCTTCCTGAAGAATAAATAGGGATATAGAATAATAAAGACTAAAAAAATAATACTCAGAAAGCACAAACATGGTATAGCGATGGAGGAGAAAATAGACTTGAAAACTCATGAGTCTCGCACTGGACATTCCTAATGCCTTAAGCTATATATATACTCTTTCCATCTTTATATATAAAGTGTTTTTAATTAAATCACACAAATTAATGAAAGTTGATTATCTAATTAAAAGCATAATAACATTTTAAATTTGCCCTTAATTATTGTAAGTAAAAAATGAATATCTTTTTTTAAAATAAATTAGTAAGAGTAGTTAATTTTTTCTCTTTCTAATTTAATAAGAGTATAATGATCCATTCATTAAAAAATGTATTAACAACTCATTACATTTAAAAATAAAAAAATTTAAAAATTTTTTATATATAAAGACGGAGAGAATATCTACCAGTGTGTAGTTATGTGAATGACTTTTCAACACCAATTGAACATTGGTTTTAAGAAAATAATAACCCATAAAGTCACTTCATGTTTTGAACGTGAAGGAGTTGTGGAGGTTGCAACAATAAAACAATCATTAAATGTTATTGAAATTTGATAAGTGTTGAATAAAACTCCTGTTGGGCTGTGACTCAACGCTTAAACTTTAAACACAATAAATTTGTGTTTTTCCCAAAAAGCCAAAATACAAAATTTATTTAATAATTTTGCAAAACAAATTCATTAAAAAGAATTTAATGCCTCTTTAGTTTGTGAGCTCACTTTTCCTCCAAATACATTTAATTTATTAGCTTACTTTTATTCCTTAATGTATATACATTAAAAGTTTTACTTATGTAGGTATATGAGATTTCTCTGTTTGATACACTCACACAATAATTACAACACTGACAACTATAATTGAAACATCAATTGAATGATGAAATTCTCCTTTTGATACATACACAATAATTACAACACTAACAACTATGATTGAAACATCAATTGAATGATGGAATAAGTGTGCTTAGGTTACTCAAAATTTAAATTCAAAATCAATATGAGAACCAGTCTACCTAAAGCTGAAGTGGCATGGAGTATTTATCGTGTTATCAACTAATTTTCGTCATCCCTACAAATTAATTATCTAGTGTAACCTGTCTAATTTGCGTGTGCATTTAAATTCCGATGTAGAGTACCATGTCATTATAACAAAACTCCTATTTAGCCAACATTTGCATCATGTGAGTTCTAAATAAAATTTCGAGGGTTCGTAAATAGAAAATATCCTCGTTGGCTTAATAGATGATAAAAAGAAAGGCTTACAACGCTTAATGAAAACATTACCTATAATCATATCTACATAGAATCCGACAGTTACACTAATCATATTGCATGGCCGCTTTTTTCATGCTCATGCTTTACCCTCATGATAAATTCAAAATACTATCTTTTTTTTGAAAATGCAAAATATTATTGTTTTGTTTGTTTTGGCCTATACTATGTATTACAAGCATCGACACATTTAAGGGGGTGCTGAGTTGCAAGGAAAGGGAGGGATTTTGCCCTCATCTTGTTTGGATTGAAAAATAAAAAATTTTCCTCCCTTCCCAAATCAAGGAGATTGAGAAATGAGAGATAAAATTTGTCATACCTGAACCAACATATTTTTTATGATAAATTCAAAAGATGTATATACATTTTTCAGTATTTCAACAATAACAAAACAAGAATAAAATTATTTATATATAATTATTTATCCTCTACTATTTTCTTAAACTAAATAAAATAATATCAAATCTTTATTCTCTGTACAATCAAAATTGTTCCCCTCTCCTAGACACCTAATATACTTATCCGGTTATCCCTAATGCGGAGTGGAAGGCGGGACCGCATCCCAACTTCGTTGTCCAGAGTATTGGGGCGAAGGCGATGCCCTGAATTTAATAATATATTTTTGCGTGAATAATTACTCTACATACATTGCATTATTATTTTTTGGGCCAACGATTACATGCATGCATAGTTCTACGTCGTAAATTATCCGTATTAAATGCCACTTTAATTTAGGATAAAGGCGAGGCGGGATATTAATAGAATATCAGCATTCCGGTATTCGTATTAGCTAGTTGGTTTTAAATGATATAAAGTTTAATAGTCCGGGAAAATATGATTTTTGGCACTTATATTTTTAGTTTGTTTTTATATTAATTCGTACATTTTTATTTTATTGTTTGAAGTCTCTTAAGTTTAATTGTCTGTAATGTTAGCCTTTTTATTTTTAAATATGATCATAATAATTTTACAGTGACTAACATGTGCATACACTTAGTTACTTTCTACACCAACGTGTTAAAATTATGATGAATTATGTAAAAAAAAAAAGAAAAAAAAAATAAATGAGAACCCTTAAACATGCAATTAATGGAGTTTCAAAATGAAGAAAATACACAGTTAGAGTAGAAATGCATAAAGATTAGTGGCTATTTTACTCATATAATATCCAATACATTATAATTTTATCCGTTGGCCAACAGAATTAAACACGATATAATGTACACTTTAGATATTTAATTCTGCCAATGATAATAAAGATTAATACTACAAAAACATGAAACTTAAGCACTTAAAATAATGAAATAAAATATGAATTAATACCAAATCACTAAAAAATATTATGACTAATATTTATATTTTTTCTAATAGTTTTTATTTTTTAAAAAGGAAACACTTCAAATTCATTTAATTTAAATTTAAATAATTAAAGTCAAATGTTTCAAATTCTAGTAACTCTGTGTATGGTCACAAAGATGCTATTAGAGACTGGAATTCAGGTGATCCTAGCCCTTAAGGGCTCGGCTTTAAAACCCGATTTTTAAAAATTTAATTTAATTTTAAAGCTTGACCTTTATCTGTAGAGTTTAGAGCTAGGTTCATAAGTCTTCTTTTTGAAAAAATTTAACATTTTAATTCAAAAGAGATTTAAAAGTCTAAATTCAACATAAAACAAATTGAAATCTCACATAAAATTCAATAAAGATTTAAAAGTCTAAATTTAAAATGAAGATTATATTCTTCATTAATGTAAATCTAAATTCTTCTCTTCATCATCTAAAAATAAAATTAAAGCAATTGAAAAGCAAGCTTGAAATTTTAAGCAAGACAATGTTAAGTATTAAGTTTAAGGACCCACACAATTAATTTAAATATTGAAATCCATCACACCTCAAAAATACTAACTAAACAAATTAAACCAAGTGATTAGAGTTCAATGGCAGGATCCTTCTTCAAACTAATCAAACAGATAATTGAATTAAAAGGGTTGTTTAGGCTGAACTATTTTTTATAGGGTTTATCAGGGTCAAATTCTAGAATTTGGTTATTTTAAAAATATAATTTTTAAAATTTAAATTTTTATTTATATAAAACTTTTAAGTTTGACTTTTTAAACTTAATCCTTATTTTTGACGCTAGACACAATTTTCATTTTAAGTTTTTTATTACTCATTTTAAGTTTTTAACATCAATCAACGAACGAGTTTGAATACATTTTAAAAAAAGAATTTGAATACAAATAAAAACCTATAAAGGCTAGCTGTCATCAACTTGCGTGTTTCTGCGTCCGCATCCACATTTCGCAGGCTCTCTCTCTCTCTCTCTCTCAGTCCGACTCACCCAGCTGCACCGCACCGCTCCATCCTTTCGTCTCTCAGAGTTCCTTCTCATCGTAAGTCCTGCTTCCCTTCACTTCCAATCGGCTTAACCCTGCCCATTTCCCAAAGTTTATTAGCATTTGTTTTGGAATTGCTCCCGTACACGTTTAGCATGCCGATCATTTGCTAGGGTTAGGGCTCTGAATCGGGTTGTGATTCACGCGTCCTCATTTTCCCTATTTGGTCTTCAGTGTAAGTTTTCATATTCTCACTGGGTTTGGAACCATCGGTGACGAGTGTACTCTGAGCTACCAGTTCGATTAAGGCTTCCCTCCTCTGCTGCCTGTCTGGGTTGCTGAAATCACAAAAATATGGCATTTTGAAGTACATATTGTGATTAGCTTCGAATAGAAGACAATGTGTGGAGAACTTGATATATTTTTTGACTCTCGAACTCGGCGAAATTGCGAAAATTGTCATTATCATTACTTTAATTTATGTCACTCTGGGTTGTTATGCTATTCCTCTGTCAAGAAAATAATATCCAAGTGAGGTAATAACTATAGTAAATGCGGAAAGACAGGTTCCCTCTAGGTCATTAATCAGGTTTTGCTCCATTTAACTGTAGTTTTTGGTAGCGGTCTGGACCCGAATGAGCCGAACTTATTTATAAGGTGTCGCAGAGACAACTTAACTTTTGGAGTTGGGCAGACGATGGAAATCACAGTAGGGCTTAATTAAGTGCGATTGTAATATAGAGAAATACTGAGAAAGGTTATTCATTGTTCTTGAATAATGACATTTTGTTGCGCATTCTCGTTCGTTGAAGTTCCCACCAAGGGCCTTGGTTGCAGCCGTGCACTGTCATCTCAGGAACAACTGATCACTACTTCACACTTACATGCTATTTTGCTCTCAACAAGGCTGAATAACTTGTTGATCCTAAATTAGCTGTGGCATTCTGAACCATGCCAAGTGCTTGGTTAATTTTTTGACTTGTTAGATTGACATTAGACTGCACATGTTATTGAACAAAATTTTGATTCGATAATTTATGATCTTTACATCACTAATCACTAAATATTGAGCATGCTCTGTGGATATGGATTCCTCCCCCTCCGGGGGGGAAAAAGAAGGCCTTCCTGGTGTAAACCGTCTCATAGAAATCTTATTGCTACTTAAGAGATAGTTCTGGGGACTTAGATGAACTTCTGAGTGTTATGCTGATGAATATCTAAAAATGTTAAAAAGTTTTTCTTTTCTGCGGGGATTATTTTGTGTTTCATGTGTTTTTTTTTTTTTTGGTTTTGCTTAATTCCCAGGACAACCATGTGTGACAAGGGAGTAAAATCCTGCCCCATATGCACTGAGGAGATGGACTTGACTGATCAGCAATTAAAGCCTTGCAAATGTGGCTATGAGGTTCACATTTGGGTCTTTGCCTATGCACGACTATCTTGTTTAACATAAATATGTGTGCTTGTATGTGTTCATATTGCCCTTTGTTATGGTATCTGCATGTTATTCTTGCCCACCAAGTGAAGGTGAAAAATTGTACTTCAAGCTCTCCAGAGCTTCTGATGTTTGAGCTAAACTAAGCAGTGGCATCGTACATGTAACACTTCCTTGATAAGTCATTTTAATTCATTATTTCTCTTTATCCAACTTCTCTGCAGATCTGTGTCTGGTGTTGGCATTACATTATGGAAATGGCTGAAAAGAATGGAACTGAGGGCCGATGTCCTGCTTGTCGTACAACTTATGACAAGGAACGAATTGTGGCCATGGCAGCAAACTGTCAAAGGTAGTCATAGTGTTGTGGAATTTTCAATTTTTCATGCATTTTATTAATTGTAAGCAACTATTGAGTATGATTACCTTGATGAAGCAGATTGGTGGCTGAAATGAATTTAAAGGAAAAAAAGAAAATGCAGAAGTTAAAACCCAAAGCATCAGACGGAAGGAAACATCTTAGTGATGTTAGAGTCATTCAACGCAATTTAGTGTACATAATTGGGTTGCCTCTTAACCTTGCAGATGAAGATGTGAGTTCTTAAATGCTGTTTAGAATCTTATCTTGCTGGATGCATCTCCATGGAGAATGGCTTACTTTCTATATGTGGCTTTCTATAGTATAATTACCTTATTCCTTGGTTAACATTTCATTTGTTTTATTTTACAGCTGCTTCAGCGTAAGGAGTATTTTGGCAGGTATGGAAAGGTTTTGAAAGTGTCTATCTCTCGAACAGCAACAGGAGTAGTCCAACATACAGCAAACAACAGCTGTTGTGTGTAAGTTGTGTTGAGTGTCTGTGGCTGCTATCTTATTGTGACTAGTCTTTAACTATTTTTTTTTTGGTTGAGTTACAGTTCTTTCTGAGGTTGGAGGCTTGTTCTCGTTGGCTGTCTTTTGTAAATTAAGCTGTAGTTCTTTAATCAAAATTCTCTATCTTTAGGTACATAACTTACTCAAAGGAGGTTGACGCTGTTCGATGTATTCAATCAGTACATTGTTTTGTGTTAGATGGTAAATCACTGAGGTAAGGATAAGCTGTTTTGATTGGGTTATGAGATCGTCACATCCATGAGCTATGTGATAATGGGTGGGTATTTGTGTATGCAGGGCTTGTTTTGGAACCACAAAGTATTGCCATGCATGGTTGAGAAATTTGGTAAAGACTTAACATTTAATTTATGTATCCTTGTTAGACAATACGCATGCCTATCTATAACAACATATTTTATCTTCTTGGTCCAGGCTTGCAGTAATAGAGATTGTTTATATTTGCATGATTATGGCTCTCAAGAAGATAGCTTTACCAAGGACGAACTAGTTTTAGCATTTGCTAGGTATGATCTCTATATTCCGGCCCTCACTGGATTCCCAAACCCCTTTCATCTAGTTCTAACCCTTGAAAGTACCTCTTTTGTTTATGTAAAATGGACAATTTTACGCGACCTTCCCCCCTTATCACTGTGTTTTGCATTACCTTAATCTGGATAAAAGCATCCCACTATGGTTTGTTTTATATTGCATAACCATCAGCTTGCATGTTAGACTTAATCTATTTTTACCCCCCTTATTTTTATTTGTTTTTTTGCTTGGGAGCTAATTATTTATTATTGTGGTTTTGTTTAATTATACTTTGTATATTGAAGGAGTAGAATTCAACAAATTATTGGTGCTACAAACAATTTGCATCGGCGCTCGGGTAACGTCTTACCTCCCCCAGTCGATGATCCTAGACATATGTTACCAGCTTCCAGATCAGTTGCCAAAAATCCTTTAGACGTAAGCTTCCGTACCTTTCACTTATTTATAATTATATATGCATGTTTGTATGTATGTCTGTATTGGGGTGGTAAATTGAATTCAACTTGGTTGCTGGTTACTTAGTGTTAGTTGTGGGATAGGAGTTTGGCAGCTAGTTATCCATTTTTATTAATCTCAAATATCGTTCATCCACACAGAAAATGGAGAACCAGGTTAAGGTATCTTGCTCAAGTAGTGGCACTGGGAATAATACAGCACTCCCTTCAGTGACCTCGTGGTATTACACTTGCTGGTTTCACGCTAGCATTAATTTTGTTTTTGCAAATGCTTACTTTGTAAGTTTTTTTTTATTAGGGTTATGCGAGTGTCTGGCACTCTGCCACCACACACAAGCACACAAAATTCTGGTAGTTCTCTGAACAGAAAAGTTGAGGTGTCCAATGATCCTCAAGCCATTGTGTCTGGAGTTTCTAGCGCTGAAAGGTTGACTCTTAACACAAGAACATCAGGTGGAGTTGCATTTGATGCACATTCTAGTGCTTTGTTGGAATCATTAGACTTTAACAAGCGTGATATTGAGGGAACCATGCAAACCCATCAGTCATATGTGACTAAAGCAGGTGTTGTGGAGAAACTTCCTTCTGATGGAATGTCTAACCATGGAACATCTCTGGCAGTTACAGCAGGTGATGGTCTAGGTGAGGTATCTCCTGCCAGCAGAGGCTTTGTAGAGTTTTCCCAATCTTGTGATCTGAACATGGACAGAGTGTTTAGCCATAATTCAAATCATGATGTTAAGGGATTGTGCTCAGGATTGTCTTCACTTAGCATTCATAGTCATGTTGAAGATACATGTTGCACTCCTGGTTCAGACAATATTGGTTTTACTAATAATTCTATTGGTTCATTTGGAAGGCAGCATATGATGGAAGAAAACCAATATTCTGCTGAACAGTCCACCTGGCCAGCTTTGTGGGAAGAAATTATAGTGGATGACCTACTGAACTTAGATTGTGAGCAACCAAAATGCAGTAAAGGCTTCAATAATCTATCATCTGGGATTTCTTTACCTGGTTTGCCTCTGAATCTTGAACAATCGAGCCATCAAGTTTGGCAGCAAGATAAGGTTGGTCACCACAGTCAACCGGGCAAACTTTCTGACTATTTTGATAATGGGACAGGTTTTGATGATAAAGTTTCTCCAGATATGGCAGAGAGCAGCATTATATCAAATATTTTGTCTTTGGAAATGGATGCATGGGAAGATTCGTTTGTTAAGTTGTTAGGTGAAAGTGATGAACAATGCACATCATCAAAAGCACCGGTTTCATGGAAAGTTCATGACAAGAATCAGTCAAGGTTTTCGTTTGCCAGACAGGATGAGTTTTTCAATGAGGTTTCTGATTTTGAGCATAAATTTGCGGTTGTAGGGCATGCTCCTAGTAAGTGTTTTTCACCAGGTGGTTTAATGGAAAATGAGGATGCTTTGACTGGGAAAGGCAGACATGTTTTGCCATTAAGCAGCCCTGTAGATAGCCATGTTGGCAGTCAGTCCTTCCTTTCATCTACACGTTCTGGTGAGTGCTGACTAATGTGACTAATGTTTCCATTTTTGGCCTCCTTTCAAAGTGGGAGGAGCTATATAGGTTTTTCAAGTTAATATCAAAAATCAAAATTTATATCAATAAATTTTGATTTTTGTTGTTTTGCCCCTGGTGGTTCTATCACTGCATGCTTGTCAAGACTGTCACCTATTTGTTTCAATTATGCATTTTATTTCTTTTCCCTTTTCACTTTCTTACAGCTTGAACTTGCTAAACTGCCAGTTTTGTTTGGGGTGAACATTATGTGGACCGTCTCTGCAGTGTGATGTCTGTTCAATTAGTAAAGCCTGCTTGTTAGTTGATTTTGTATTTTAGAATTTAGATTCTAGTTTGTCCTTATCTTTATTATGTGGCGTGTGTTATCTTTTTGGGTTGCTATGTTATTAATTTGGCCTTATATTGTGGAAATCTTTTAACACGTGTCTTTTCAAAAATCTTTCAAGGCTTATTCACTAAACACAAACTAATAGTGATAACCAACAGTGATAACGCTGACTGATTTCTCCTGGATTTTGTTTGTGTTTTATTACTTGCTAGTGTCAAATGCTCATTCTTCAATGCCGCCTGGATTTCCGGTGTCTAGCAGAATACCTCCTGGATTTTCATGTGGGAGAGTGGGAAAGAATTGTAATACTTCTGGTATGAGATTTTATTCATGGCCCAAGATTTACTCCTTTCTCTTGCGCTTCCCGTTGATTAGGATGTCTACTTTTCTTAGTGATATTCTTTTATGGCATTTTTCCCCCAGTGAGCCGATTGCAAGGGCAATATGTTCCTCCATCTGGACATGTTGGCAGGTTTAGAGATGAAGTTAGTGATCCGGCAACATTGGATTTTAGTGAAGGGAAGCTAGCAGAAAAGCTGAACAATGCATCTCTTGACCTGAGGCAATCTTTTCTCCCACAATTTAACCCTGATGAAGATGATGCTAGGCTTAAGTTGTTAATGCAGCAGTCACAGAATTTGAGATTCTCACACTATGTTGGGGACAGATTTTCTCCTCAAAATGATTCATATATAACTCCTTTAAAGCTTCCTGATCAATTCCAACCCAACAATCCTTCAATTTACCAGCAACTTAACTCCCAGCAGTTCAATACTAATATGCTTTCATCAAGTAGCCTGTGGGATGGTTGGAATGATTCTTGGAACTATAGTGGTCTGGGTATGTCGGAGGTTTTGAATGATGGGCGACTGTTACATAACAACTTCATCTCTAATTATGAGAATATCAAGTTTTGAACACATTCTTTTGATGAACTGCCTTGAGAGGATTCAAATATTATATTGAAACCATGCCCCTACCTAATTTTGATTATGTAAAGGTATCCATGTTGTGGCTTGTCCTGTTCAGATATTCATAACCAAGAAATATTGAATTCTCTTTCAAATTCCTATCGAGCACGTGAGGGACGATCTGCATGATCAAGTGAATGAAAAAAAGATGTGAGGTGCTACAGAAAGGGTTCTCTTTTCAGCTTTGGATCCCCGTATCCAAAAATCCGATTCCCCTGACACTAGTGGATTATGATAGACGTCATGGTGCTCATTCTTGGCCTCAGGTGCTTAATTTCATTAGCAACCACGTGTCTGGTTCTCTCTTTTATAAAGGTGTGCAAGACAGATGGCAACTTGGGGATGGAAACCGGTTCTTTCTTTTCAGGTTACATGTCTGGAGGATTCACTAGTTCTTCAAGGTGGTTATGGTGAGTATAAGCTAATGATTTGATGAGGCATGGACGAATATGTGCCGAAATAGAGGGTTTTCCAGCTAGTACTGATCATGATGAGCCAAAAATCCATTCTTAATTTTTAATGATGCCGTAGTGAATTCTTTTTTATGACAGATTATTGCTTCCCCCATTATATGGTTTTTGATAATAACTTAATTTTCTGCAACATGTCTGCAGTCATGCTGGGTCAGGCTTTTGGTCATTGTCCTTTATGGAACATGAGATAGAGAACTACTGTAGTCCGAGTTGGAGTTTATGTCTGGGACCGACAAGGTTAAGTTGGTTGACGTGAAGCTTTCGTTTTTGTTGATGCCAACCTTCAGTCGCTCTTGATCCGCGTTTGGAAGTTGCATGTCTGGTTCAGGCTTGGAAGTAGGCGGATATGGAAATTTTTCTCTTGCTCTGTCCGAGTGAAGGGGAAGTTGTTACTAGATTGAATTGGATTATACAAAATTGTGAGAGATCTCGATGATAACCTGTTCGTATGTGTAGCAATAAAACCATTTCAGTATTTCCAAACTAATTTACAGCTGTTCTATAAAAGGGAGGTAGGTGACTTCCATGTGAAGTGGTGGATAACGGAACTTCAAACAACGTTAAATGACGTGGGCATTAGCTTCCTTATTAACGTCAGTGCTAAGACCATGTAGAAGCTCATTCATGCATGGTTCGACGTTAAATAATCCAAACTGATGCTAAATGGCGTAATGTAATTACTGTTAAACATTATTTAAACATGACTTTTCTAGTCTACTCTCACCAACCATCCATCTTAATGCAATTAGCAAGCGCGGTAGAGGAAGCTGAAAGCTTTGGTCAATTCTTGCGGAGCGAAGTTAAATGAATTGGAGAGTGGAAAGAGGATGAGAGTTGGGCAGCTGGCTGCTCCCCTGGTAATGGCGATTCGGCGTTGACAGGTGGAACCATGTTTGGCTAGAAACGGAGAGGCTCTCGGATGCTCGGCGGGAATTGGGAAGCAAATGGACTGGTTTTCCTGATGACAAGGCATACTGACGCAGGGTTCGTGCAACAATTCTCTGCGCAACCCTTTTGACCTGTTGCATGTAATAGTAATCTGCCAAAAGGCTGCAAGGGAACGTGGGTCACAGGCAGAGAGAGGACAACCTGTGAAATGTCGTACCGCCGGACCTGGTACCCTGGTTTGGTTGGACAATCGTGTGCTTACTGCTTACTCATGTGAGGACACTGGAGAAATCGTCGCTGCCCGCTAGTACCTTTGGTTCTTGAATTGAATAACCTAGGGGCTGGTAGGTTGCTTCACATTATTGGCACGAGGTTACATCTTGATGTAAAGAGAGCACAGAGCAGTAAGAAAAGACGTGGGGGAAAATAAAAAAAAAAATGTGAGGACATAGGAATCAACGAACAATGGGATAGAATTGAAGAACATAAAAGGGGAAGGAAGAGAGGAATTGGGTAAAAAGTTGAAGCAAGCATGAGTTTAATAATACGTTAGGAAGGCAAAGGGGGAACAATCATGGCGACAATGGAATTTAACTTTTGACATGGGTTGGTGTAACCACTAGATTACCACGGCGTAACCTTCAGCACGGGTCGCTTTCAGTGTAAAGGTAGAAGCTCGAACTCTAATTTGTTAACGGAGACCAATAATTTACGGATGTTACGCTAACCTGGTGCTCTTGCAACAACCATATACCAGGTAGAATCTGAAGCATTACAATCACCGACAAATTAATTAATTGCCAAAATTTATGCTTTCTTTGTCATTCTATCATCAACTTGTATAATGGCCACGTAATGTTAAAGCATTCAGTGCAAGCAACTTTGATGCATGAGTTTTTCCAGTTTTTCTAATGAGATATAATAATAACCAATAAATGGCCGTTCCATTTTCTCATATTACAGTAAATTAGATGTGGATTGTGTGCGGCAAGATTTATAACTGATGAATAGTATAGTTTTTTTTTTTAATAAATTTGATGTTTGTTAAAAACTCTTTTCAATTAAAAATAAAAATATTCCTGAATGAAAAATATAACTTCTATATGATTAGTAAGGAGATTAGCTCCAACCATCAGATTCTCTCCACAAGTCGTGCTAGAAAAATCAGGGAAACGAGTAAATATATAAACCCCAGCATTCTTCTTAAAATGAAGTTTTCTAGCTGGGTGAAGGTTTCACATAATTGCAGCGGAGAAGGGAGGGAGACAAGGCAGGGAATGAACAGGGGCTGGGCCTAGAGAGAGCGAAGGCTGGGGGGTAAGTCTCGAGGGGTGGTAATAATGGGGGAGAGGCAGATGAAACTAAAATGCAAGAAAATAAATAAGGAAGTTGGCAGGGCTTGAGGAAGAGAATGTACGATTACAATGCAAGCATAGAGCCCAACAAAGGAAGAAAACCCCAAGTTACAGTCTCAGATTTGCCCATTCATTCGCAGCCTCGAAGTTTGGAGAGAGGCACTTGATTCAAAAGCGACAAAAAGCCTAAGACATGTAATAGTACGGACGTGATAGGCCCCTCTCACGCAGATTTTCAAATCAAATTTCAAAAGCCTGCCCCTGCCACCATCACAAGTCCTCTTATTTTACTATTCGCAATCACACATATGCTATGCGAACTAGGAAGCAAAAGTAGGCCGAGGAGGCCTTTAATTAATTGGTTCATTAGAGCTGCCACGCCAGTCGTGTATTTTTTTATTCACTCGTGATGTTATTGTAGGATGGACAGTACGGGTAAAGCCGAGGAATGCGCGAATCACTTTAGTCCCAGTGAGAGCGACGGGACGGGACGGGCGTAGAGATATAAATCCCTTAACTTCCACGTGGCCTCGCTACACGACAACATCATAATCCCCACTTTAATTATCTCGTACCTCAGTTCTCCACTCCTCTTTCCCTGTCCTTTGCTTCGTTGCCACCACCACATGTCCCTCCTCAGTTGAGCCGTTACGAATGAATTACCATGGTATATGATACGCCGCCCAATTTCTTTTCAGGCTTTACGCTCTCCACGTAATTCACATTCAATTTCGGACACGAAAAGTTAATTTGTGGTATGACTTGTTAATCCACGTAAGAATCAGTTTCTAAGTTCACCGTTCAGTTCTGGAGACAGGCTACTGAATGCCAAATTGCAACATTTGACTCTTGACAAACTGTCAGCATCCATTGTCGTGAGGACTCCCAAGGCCTCACAATAAGCAGACCAAATCATTCAATTCAAATCTGTCATGTTTATAACAAAAATTATAATATACTCTTAACAAATAAAATAAATAATACGTGATAAGATATAACTTGTTATGACTAGGGATGCATGTAACATTTAGATTTTTTAATCTTATAATTAGCTGTTAATTAAAAATAAATTGATAGTTGTGAAGCGATTAAAGTTTCAAGTGATAATGTGATTATTTGGCTCATCGGGATGTTTTATGAATAGATATGAGTGAGAGGATTACGTTTCGAGTCGAAGTCATCGTGAGAATTCTTCTCACCGTGCCACGCAATGCGGTTAGTGTTGTTGCATGTATTGCGGCGCATGGACTAAAAAATAACCCCATAAGTTATGAAATTTGGATGAATTTCAGAGAAAGAAATTACAAAACATGAAAGGAAGAAGAGGATAAGGGCTTGGTTGATAGGGCAAGCTATTTCGGAGCTGTGGAAGGCATTTCTGACTAGTAACCTATCAAATAAGCTACGTATAACCCTTACCTTCCATTCTATCCAATTTTTTTGAATTTGAGTTAGAGGGAAATTGAATCAATGAAATTTAAGAAGTTTGATTTTTATTCAATAGTAATAAAAAGGTTCTCGGGAGTTTTAGAGCTTACGAATGGTTTTAAGCTAAAACTTTGAATCCATAGGCTCAATTTGGCCTTAAGTTAGAGAGGAAAAGGGGTGAAAATCATGTTTGAATAAAATGAGACTAGATGAGGTGATGCAAAGTAGTAATCAAATAGTAATAGATATAGAATAGATAAATAAAAAAGAATGAACGGCTAAGCATACCCAAAAGAGTGATTAAGTGTTTTTTGTCAAATTAGACCAATTGACTAAGTTGTGTATAAATTGGCGTATTGTGCATGTGCGTTGAGAAAGGGAGCTTGTGACAAGCTGTTTGGTAATAGAAATCTATAGGTAACCTTTCTTTTGATAGAAGGGTTGAGGTAATCAAATAACTTTCTCTATTTAACTATTTGTTGTAATTGTGGTGACCTTGCTATGTAGTGCATGAAATTATTTTGAATTGAGCATGTTTTGTAACATTGAATGTTTATTGCATAAAAAGGAATTTTGGTTAAATAAGTAATGAAATTTGTGTAATTTGATATAAAAATATGTATATGTATATATATGAGTAAAGTGGTGATTGTGAACCTTTGAATGGTTTGGAAAGTATGATCATAGGGGTGAGAGTTCACACGAATGGAGATGTGGTGATAAGACCATATGACATATTCTCCTTAGTACTCGATAGGGTGCAGTGATGGAAATGATCTTTTTAGTGCCTATTGAAGTGCGGTGTTAAAAATTTAGACTCCTTGGTGTCTGTGTGATACGGTGTTAGGATCAACAACATCCATTGTGTGTATTGGGAAAAATCATAGTCTAAACATGAGATAGAACACCTTTGGTTGGATGATTCTACTACTGAAGATGAGCTTAGGGCTAATGAGAGTGTTTATTGGTCTAAGGTGAGCTTATGGTTTTAAGTCGGGGTGATTTGAAAGTTCGGTCGATAGTGATCATGCTTAGAAAAGTGGTAAAAAGCAGTGAAAATGGTGAAATATGCTATGTTGATGAGATTTGAAATGTGATATGTAATATATGTTATGTTAAATGATATATTGTGCTTTACTTTTATATAGTTGCATGTGATAGTCAATAGGAGAGAGTTATTCCGTTACTGAGACTATTATTTCAATTCCGTGGTTACATTCTTATAGGATAAAGCAGTGATCAGAGCAAGGAAAAAGAGTTTGAACTGGCATAATAGTGCTGTGGTCATTGAGAAGCTTTGAGTTTGTGTAATAAATCATTTTAGTGTGAATTCTGTATAAATGTGTTGTCATAGGATTGTATGCATGATTTGAATGGTTATGAGTTGTTGGATGAAAAATTGTAAAAAGGTGTAGTAATAATAGTAAATCTTAGTCCAAGTGTGAAATTACGATGAAATGAGTAATTCAGGCTAAGCTTGAGTTATGATTATGTTATGAATGTAAATATATGTAAATTTGTGGTAAAAAGAGCCAAGTGGGCCAAATTGTGTTACGTGGTGAAATTTTATGAAATGTAAAATGGACTGTTGAACGGTCAGATTTTGATATACATATATATGTGTGATGAAATGTAGTCAATTAAGTGTAATAGGTCATTTGAGACTTGATTTAAGACCTTATATAGTCTAAGTATTTGGGTGCGTGAAATTCTTTAAAAAGTTGACTTTTTGCACTCGGATGTCTAAATTTTGATCAAAACATTAGATCACATCCAAACCTGTATCATTAGTTAGCTTATGAGATAAGTTTTGTGTGGGCGCTTGAATCATTATGATCAAACATCATATGTGAAAATGGCGCACGTCGAAAGTTTATCATTTTTACTATTAAATGATAGCAAAAAATTTAGACTGGCGCGCCGTGGCGCATGACGTCTCACACCATGACGCATGACACAGAGGAGAACTGAGCATGTGGCTTTGTGCCACATACTACGGCGTATGTATTGCAAACCACGGTGCATGACCTGTGTTCTAACTTGATTTGGCAGTCTTTAAGCTTGCAATGGTTTGTATGATTGCATTTGACTTGTTTCTGCTGTGTAATTTTCTGATGTGTTGTGATTTTGATGGTTTTACAAAACAGATCTTGGATCCAATCTTTTCAAACAAAATATTTGATTATTAATTGTTGTGATTATTTCAACCTAATTTGGCAGTTTTTAAGCTTGCAATGGTTTGTATGATTGCATGTGACTTGTTTTCATTGTGTAATTCTCTAATACGTTGTGATTTTGATGGTTTTACAAAACGAATTTGGGTCCAATCTTTTCAAACAAAATATTTGATTATTAATTGTTGTGATTAGTGTGGTGATTTAATTAACCTTGCCTAATATTGAGTAGATATTAGGAAAAATTACAATGCACATCGAAAGATAGGACAAGATTTCAATTTAACTCAAAATTTGATATCTTTTATGAAAAGGATCAGGTTAGGCAACCTATAATTTAGTTTGGTTTAAGCTTAATCCAAAGTTGAATTAGATTAGACTTAATCTATAGGATTGTGAGATTGGTTTTGATACTTCAGTACTTCACTTTGCTTTCTTCCCTTTTTTTTTTTATGAGAGGCAATAATTCATTTTAATTTAATAAAGTCAATTAAGATAAAAAAAAATAATCATATAAAATCTATCACAAAATATTAAAAAGCTAATTATAATAAATCTATAACAATTTTCAACAATGAAAAAAAAACATTTCAATTACAATTAAAAAGATTCAAATTCATAACATTCAACAAATTTTATTAATATGTTTAAACTATATTACAACAAACTTCAACAAATTTTCATGTAACTCTAGCATCAGCAAATCAACTCAATTAAAAATAATTATAATAAAATAATTTTATAGAATTGAATTAGATTTAAGTGATTTAAAGCTTTGTCTTCTATCCAATCTAGCTAGAAGATAAAGTCCAATTTTATTGGTCTTTTTAATTCTTCAAGTCAATTTTTTTTTCCTTGGGAATGAATTGGACTGAATTGGCGGGAATTGTTCATGAATAAATAACTTTTGCATAGCCCTAATTATAACTACGCGAGCTGACGAATAAGCACAGCATATTAGACTCTCTATTTTAATTTGATTTTTATATTAAGTCATGTTTTATAGGTCATCCCAAACACCCTCTCCTTCTTTTTTGAATACCCTCACGCTTGAGTACAAAACGAAAGAAAACTAGCTCACCACAGCAGTGGTAGACGTTGAAACATTCAATGGGGACCGTGGGCACGATTTGCATATCAAAGCTTCCATAATGGGCATTCCTTGCTAATTGATCAGTGCACCGCACGCCTTCTCTATAGGTATGGATAATACAACGAGTGTTAGGCCAGCCAAGTCTGATTGATCGGCTGCAGCATAGCATTCAACGGGTGACATGAGTTTCGCTGGATCGCCTGTGGTGACCCAGTGTAGATTCGAGCATTCTCCAGATCGCGCTCCCGGCATAAAATCAGAGCATTAAGTATGCAGCAAGCTCCGCAGCAACAGTACTCGCTTCTCCAAGGTTCTTCTGTTTGAAACCCTTAGCCATTCACCTCGCCAATTCCTTCACACTCCACCACAAGCCGCATGACCCCCCCAAAGCAACAACACCCCCCCCCCCCCCCCCCAAAAAAAAAAAAAGAAAAAAACTCTACTCCCGCATGCAGATTCAAAACACATCGCGACAGACACCACACACATAAAGGATTTACATTCCATAATTACACTCGTTCTTTATTTTTTCTCCACCACTTTTGCTTATATAGGAAACTAAGTTGCATTTTCATTTGAAATGCAGTACTTCTTTATGAGGTAAATACCTACTTTTCAAACATCAACAAACAATTTTTTCATCCACTTTCAGCATAAACAAGCCGAATAAGAATGCTGGAGAAGAAGGAAGTGCTGACCAGGTTCTTGGCTGAAACAGATACTAGTGTCGGATAAGCACCAAAAAAGTCACAAGTTCAAAATGACCTGGTAGCAGTTCGTTGTAATGGTGAAAATTAATCGATTAAACGTTAAGTAAAGGTTAAGCAATTCAATGGCAAGATCTCTTGAGCAGTCCCATAAACACTTTCGCAAACCAGTTTGTTGGCCACAATCAACCTACTAATCAAGCTTAGATGATTTTAAACTGGTGCTTTGACCCGCATAACCTTGTTCTCATCAACTTCTGCTTTAAGGGGCTGAGATGCTAGAGTTGTGATTGATGAAGAAAACTAAGGATGGATCGTCATGTTTGGAAAATGAATCTGACTATCAGCTGCTGCTGTTGGTGGTAACCTTGTTGAAGGGAATCCTGATGATGCTGCAGCAGAGAAGGATGGAATCAAACTTGCCTCGCCATATGGACCTTGGTATTGAAATACCCAGTTTGGCAGAGGATTAGCTTCCATCCTTTTCTCCATTGCTCTTTCCTGAGAATATAATAAATGAGAATGAGTAATCTAAACTACTGCCCAAGAGGGGGGAAACAGAGAGAGACCCAATTAGTGGCCAGAACTCTACCTTACCTGATTAATGGGAAAGAAATCAGTTCTATTCCTGACAGAAGGATGCTGGGTAGCTATCGGGAAAACATGAGACGGTTGACCCTTCAATAACCTTGATGCAGAGTTCTCAAACTAACAGAATGACGAAGAGACTAGACGTTATAAGTTAAAATATATAAAAATCAGAATCAAGGTATAAACACACAAGCAACATAGCAGGGCCCGGAATTGAATTGAGCAGGAGGTTCCCACGAGATTTCTTAACATTACCGCAACTCTCCCATCAACGGGCAGATTGGGCCAGCCGTGCGGGACTTGAAAATCATCAGAGTAAACAGGGGGAGCAATGGCCAAGCTAAGATCAAGATTTGGGTTGCCATCTGCGCAAGTCTCAAAACAGATATGCTGTCAAAAAATAATAGTAATAAAAAAGTCTGATGATAATGCTTCTCATAAGGCAGGGCAAAGCAAACGAGGAACCTTCATTATCTGCCTGAGATATTATCTCCCCTTCGTATGAGCTTGGCTCAAAGTTCGTCATCGCTTCCCTCCCATTGCATTTTATGGCCGCTTTATCATACGCCCTGCTTTCATAAAAGATTGTCGCACACTTAGTATGAAAGAGACATATCAGAAACGAAGTCTAAAAAAATAAAGACGTTTAGCTCGAAATCATCTGATATTTGAATGATACCTTGCAGCCTCTATTTCGCTATCAAATAGCCCGAGATATATATACCTGCAGGCAAGTAATGAACCTAAACCAATTAAAAAAACAGAGATCGGGCTCATCAGAAAAGAAACCAAGATCTTAAGAAACTAAGCATACGGAACCTCCTACCTACTTTCAATCCATGGAGGGATAAAATCTTAAGACTACGTTTAATATAATATAAATGCATGGCACACATAGGAAAATATAAGGCAGGCAAAGCTCAAGCGTTTATCTACGAGTGCAATTCACTTGAAGGGTTTCTTACTTCTTCCCTAGAAACTGCCCCATGCGAGCTTCCCATCGCCCACATTTATGTAGAGTAACTCCTCTATATTTAGAGCTTCCCCTTGAAAAGCCAGTGCTCTGTCGCCGCAGAATATGCACAAACTCTTCCTTTGTGAAATTACTCATCTGCAGAAGAATTACCACAGAAAGTCAAACTTCAGCTAAAATTTAGGGTAATACGAACTACAGTCTGTGAGATCATCTGCTCACTAACCTGCTTTATATCCTCCTCATAATCACTAACATTGAAATTAATATCAGCATCAAGGCCACGGAACTTGATTGCGGCTCGATCATATGCCCTGGAGTTGAAAACCGGATTACGGAAGAAATTACCACGAAATATACTTAAATCAGTCGGTGTGGTCATGCACAAAAAACACAATAACCAGTTTAATAACTTAATTATGAAATAACATTATACCTTGCTGCAGCATGTGCTGTATCAAATCCGCCTACAAGAAAAAACATGAAACACGATATTCATTACATACAGAAAAAGGACTCAACTAAAAGCAAGAAAGTCCAGAATCACGTTCCAGTGTCCAACTACTTCATAAAAATAAACATAAGTCGCAGAGAAGGAATTTCTATCTTCACTACGGATCCTCGCTTACCCAGGTACACTTGTTTCCCACAATCCCTGCACACAGTACCAAAAACAGTAGGTTCAGAAAAGACGAATGAAAATCAAGAACAAAAGAAAAGCAAAATAGGCATATGTGGAGTTCGCATATAATCGGTTATCAACAATACCGAACAGTATATCGAATTTTCGACCACTGACCATATATGCGATTCCCATCTTCCAGTCCTCCTATAAAATGTAACACCGCGGTACTGTGAGCTCCGCGACCTCGGTCCCCTCCGACTCTTCTTGACCTGCGGCCTCTGCTGCGGCGGCGGCAGCATCCTCTGTTCCGGCGTTCCACGGGGACCCACCTCCTTGCACAAGAAATCCAACCATCCCTTACTTGAAGCCGAAGCTGGAAATCGCTGACCGATTCCCAATTCAGTGACACGACTCTCTTCGGCACCGAAGATCGGAAAAAGCTGGATGGTCCGATTACAGCCATCAACACCTTCACCTACTGGAAGATCAACTGCTTTGTAGCTTGTGCCATCATCTATGTTATTCTTCTTCACTTTTCCAAAGTTGTATGCAAAGGCATCATCATAAGAGCAAGAGTCTTCGTCAAAAGTATTGGCGGAGGTATCGGCATTGACGATGGAAGAATTAAAGCTTCCGGAGCTATCCATTTGGCTACCAGAAAGCAGTAAAACATTCTCAGGAGGCACGTCGACGGAATTCGACGCAGAGTCAGAGGAAACGACGTTGAGATTAAGATCCAACATGGTGACTCCAGAGTAACGCGTAAGCGATGATTTTCAAATAACTTTTGCACGGAAACTGGAGCCGGATGACCTCGATCAGCCAACAGAGAAGGAACGGTCTTAACATAAAATGGAAAGGTAGCAGGAATTTCAGGATCCAAACAAAAAGATCGCTAAAAGCAGGTCACCACTGTTGAATGCAACTAACCAGTTGGGGAGAGAGAGAGAGCATAAAGGCAATATTAGTAAGACATTCGGACTTCGGAGGGAAGGAGAGAGAAGTCGGAGACAGGGTATTTGAGACGCCTGCTAGGAGGAAATCACGAGTGGCCTCAGACCTCCATGCAGAAGAGAATGGAGGAGGAGGAGGAGGGGTTGAAGAGTGAAGATTGAGAGAGAGGAAGAGGTTGCTTCGTTTTAGTGTTTATAAACGAAGCGAAGAAGAAGCAAGGGAGGATGATGAGAGAGGCGAAGGGGTGGTGGGCTCCATTTCTTTTCTTTTGTCAAGCGACGTTTAAAAGTGTATTTTTTTTTTAAAAAAATAATTTTTAAGAAAAACTTAGACGTTCAAGATTAAATGTTAGTTAATGAAGTTGTGATTTAGTGACATTGGAGAGATTGCGAGTTTGATCTGCTTATAATATAAGGTTATTAGTGCTTACCTATTTAATTCTTAAAAAAAGATTCAACATTATAAATAATAAACAATACATGCATTCATTTTGACCTTAACTTCTATTTCCCTTGAAATGGTTAATTTTTTTTTTTAAAATCCTGACACTATGAATTGTTCATAATTAAAGGCAGTAAATAATGCGTGAGGGCTCTCTTTTTCTGCATAAAAGGCCAAACATCCTATTCTACTCCTAGTAAAAGAAACATCTAAAAAATTATAAATGTTTTAGGTATTTAATAAAATAAGTTATGCTGAGAATGATGAAGAATGTCAAAGTGGTGTCTGGTAATAAAGAAAGAGGAATGTACATTTGAATGCTAGGGGGAGAATGCACCAAATAAATGTAGTGCCTTGTGGAGCAATATTCTGAGTCAGAACTAAATTGATGGAATATTTATGGAGCAGAGAGGAAAAGTGGACTTGGAAGGATTAATTATTAATGAAGGTGGGAAGAATAGGGTTATGACTTATGAGTAAGAGCGTAGACTGTAGAGGAAGGAAAGGGGGGAGGAATCGGGTGTGAAGAGACACAACGGGGGCCTTAGGAGGAGGGGGCCCCGGTTTCCATGCAGTCTCATCCTCCTCACACTTGTCACTTGACAGCTCTCTTGCCCTTTCCCATCTGACGCCATTCCATCACCTTCTTGCAATTACTTCGATCCAAATCCAACTCACATTATTATTATTATTACTGTCTTTGTGTGATATGAGAAGTCCTGAACCCTTATTCTCTGTTTGAGAACGAGAAAACCCATTTCTGTCTATCCTTGAGAAAAAGAAAAGGTGGTTGTCTGTTAGGTCGTTGAGGTTTGCATGTAGTGTGTAGGATGGAATTTGTTGAGTAACAGTAACAGCAACAATAACAATAACAGCCTCTTTCTTTTTCTCCCCTCGGGAAAAAAAGAATCGTGAAAGATGAATTAAACAAACGAACGGCGCTTGTGCGTTTTATTCATTCTGAAAATGCTTTTTCAGTTACGGCCGTTCCCAATTCGGTTATGGTCCCGCCCGCTCGTGTTGGTTGCTAATGTAGCATGTTTACCAGTATTGCATTACAAAATTCTATTCAATAATGAATTCACACGAATATGAAATTATTAGAGATAGATATATAGCCTTCAACCTGTAACCTACTACATTTGATATCATCCCTTGGACCCTCTCAATACAGAAATGTATGACCCCAAGGTGTGTGTAACTTCGTATTATGTGCTAATTGAATTTTGGTTTCTCATTATGGGATCGTGAAAGTTTCTGTCCAAGTCACTGCTACGTTTGATGAGATCTCACTTCCATCAACAGCCCCTCATTCATGATTTTCCTTGCAGTAATTAGGGCCAACATAACGCACATCATTTATGTTATGGTGATGAATAATTGAACGTCCTCTCTTGATAAAATCATCAGTGTCGCCCCTTAAACAGGCCTTTAAGTTAATGTCGGTAAAACATTTTTTGTTTTATATAGTTATCAACAAATATAACACCATGCGTAAGCAAATCACCAGCGAATAATATTAGAAATGGCTTTAATTTTTTTTTTGGTAGGAAAAATGGCTTTAAATTTCAGTGCTTAGTAAATGAATTATTCTTCCAAGAGTTCTGTTCACCTCTGTCCGCCTCTCACCTTTCGTTTGCTACCTGAACGAGACTTAGGCCCATGTGGTAAATGAGTGACTTTATTTCGGTTTCCTTTTTTAATTTTGGTGTGTGTAAAACAGTGAGTGGCTGGATATCATATGATTAACAAACTACGAACTGTTCCACTACTTATATTTATAAGTAATTCCTAACATATTTTACAGGAATTAAAAAACTATAAAATTCATTAACTATGTTTAAAAATTTAATAAGTTTTTAATTTTGTCCATATTAAATATATATTTTAATAATATATTTTTTCTTTTTAATATTTAATGAAAAATAAAAGAAAAAATTTATAATAAAAACTTAATGATATAACTTATAATTAAGATAAATAAAAAAATCCTCTCTCTCTATTGCATAAATAAGACTATGGAGAGTAATTGGTTAAACAAACATTTGGATCCATCTTAAAAAAGATGGGGATCACCCTGGTAAATCCGTCTCTGGCCAGGTACATCAAGTTTTGAGTGCCCTTGGTGAAGATTTCAGCTTCCAGACGCAATTCCATTTATCATTTGAAAGATAATAACCAGAATCATTTGCAGTAGCTAATTCTTTTGGACAGAGGCGTTCCCTTCAGCTAAAGCCTACAAAAGTTTGTGGCACAAAAAGAAGCAATTTACTTTGTTGGGATGAGATATTCTTTTGCAGTTAAATGTACATTGCGATTTAGGCGGGGGCTATTAATCACATTCAACATCATGCTCTAAATCATCTTCCGATAAGCATTAATAGAAGAATCAGAAAATTGGTCATACGACACCAGACAGTCACATTGGACCATATCTTTTGAAAGGGTATAAAAGCCAGACTTGCTTGCTCACCAAATCCACCACGGGTATAATGTCGGGATCCTTTGAAGCCCTCCGGTAACGTAGAGAGCTTTTGCTTTTGTTCTCATCATATGTCCTAGTTTCTCGTTTTCCCTACGCAAATTCTTGACCTCGTACTTTAAAAAAAAGAAGGCAATCTACATTCTCCTGAAAGCTTGAACCTTTAAAGCCAGGTTCCCCAACACACCACAGAAAAAGAAGACAAACGTCCCTCTTGAATTCAAAAGATCAATTCACGCTATCCGGTGTCAGGACCAGACATGAACACGCCAACTCAAGTTCTTGGCTTAACCGCACCCAGCAAACCCTTCCGACTTCAAAAAGACTAAACGCTAAGGAGATCAGGGAGAATTACTGAACAGATACCAAGTACTCCCAAGTTCAAATAAATAAATCACAACCCAGACTTAAACCATCAAACTAATAGCACCTCAGACACATTCCTCTTTCTTTGGTCATTCACAATGACTTCTAATTAAGTTGCGGATTATACCACGCCAAAATAAAACAGAATATTTTCATTTCAAGATCAATCTTTTCGGAACCAAATTGGTGTCCAAATTGCATACATGAGATTAATGACAAACGTCTGTGACCACACCAAAACCTAACAAAGAAACAGGTTGGCAGGAAAAACCATAACAAATGTTCTCTGTTACTCAAGTTTTACTCCCGCAAGTAACTAGTAATTGCAATCTCAAAACTGCATATATAATTAAAATATTAAAAATAAAACAAACTGTAAATTACGCCCTATTCTATAGCACAAGACTTCACTGTGAAACACCCAACCACTTTGAAAAGTTCTCAAATTCTGCGTAATCAGAGTCCGACACCATGGTTTGATACCATGCTTTTCCTGCAGCCTTAATAGCAGAAGCCTCCTCCTGGCAGCAGACATGAGCAAAGTATATATACAAAGGCTAATTAGAACAATTGATAATAAAAGAACATTTTTCCCAATGATGCCAAAAGGAAAAGGAAAAAAAAAACTAAACAGTGCTTTTAGATAACACGATTTTGGTATCCAGCTTTTCTCTCTGGAGTGCAATAGAGTGCCAAAAGTTGAGAGCACGTCTAGACTAACAATCTTCTATTTTTCAACATGGTTGGATTTAATTTAATCTGCATAACAGTACACACTTGGTCCGTGAAGCATGATCCTATAAAGTTCACTAAAATTTTCACACGAAGAACAACTCAATTGTGATGACTGGGAAACCAAAGTATATACCACAATGATATATACCGTAATGAACAGAAAACAATGCGAACCAAACCAAACATTAAGATGATGATTCATAGATGCTTTCCTGAGCAAACCAAACAAAACATTGAGATGATAATTCACAGATGCTTTCCCGAAAGAAATATTAATTGCAATACTAGAGAATCTAAACGTGAAATCAAACTACTATGCACAAGCAACATGAATGAATGCAAGTGTATGCCGTGTCTTAAAATCACCAACTCCGTTAAATGTTGAAGACCACTTTAGGAAAGCCGCAAGCCATAAATGCGAACGCATATATGCATGCAATAACTTGTACACACGCTAAGGCAAGAACAGAATAATATCACACCTTAGAGAGAGAACTCCTCTTCTTATCAAGCTTCTCTTTCTTTGCTTTCACCCGTTGAGCCTCAGCAAGAAGAGCCATCCTCTTAGCAGTCTTAGCATATGGGTTCAGTTTCAACATAACATTCAGGTTCTTTAGCGGGTTCTTCTTGAGTGGTGCCCTCTTAATTTCCTTCTTGATGGGTCTCACAACGGATTGAATCTCATCGGAGTTGATAATCCTAGCCAAGTCACTATTAACCATCTTGGCCCTTGGAAGAAAGTAACCTACCTTCTTCTCTGAAGGCTTGTCGAATGACCCATAAATCGAATCAAGCTTCTCAAAAGCAGACTTAGTCCAAATAACAAACCTACCCAGATGACCTCCAGGAGCTAACTTAAGAAGATTCAGCCTCTCGACATGAGCAACCTCGACCCCTGGGATGTTTCTAAAAGCTTTCACAGCCTTGGCTCCCTCAGTTCCATACACAATTAGAGGTCCCTTGCGAGAGATGTATCGGCGATTTCTCATTTTACCCTTACCAGGACGGATGGAGTGGCTGTCCTTCGCTTTCTCAGCATCGGGAAAAGCGCCCACCTGCTTCAGCACCTTGATAGCATCCTTAGTCTTCTCAACACACTCAGCTGAGTCGCCGACCACAAGAGGCATTTCCGGCACAGACTCAATTCTGTGACCACGAGCCAAAACAATGGATGGGATTGCCGAGGCAGCAATGGCCGAAACAACGGCGTAACGCTTCTGATTGACATTGATCTTACGGTGCCAACGGCGCCAAATCTTGGTAGGAGCGAACATACGACCACCACGACACATATTACCAAAAGCACCCTGACCGGCACGGTGGGTACCGCCACCAGGGACACGGGGGATACGAGACACGGCACGGCCAGTACCCCATGATTCGGCAGAGGTCTGGTGGCCGGCACGCTTGCTGACGGCATAGGGTTGGCGACTGTTCTTGGAAATATTGGCATGAACGAAGTTGACGACGTCTGGGCGAATGGGAGCCTTCATGACATCAGGAAGAGGAATAGTTGGAGCAGTATCAGTGGCCATGTCACCCTCGAGAGATTGGACAGTGACGAGAGGGCGAGCTGCAGCGGCCATGGCTGCTGGGAAAGAGCGGCACTGCCGGAATGCACAGCTAGGGTTTTTGCCAGGACTACAAACGATCGAAGGCGTGTTACCGTGACTATATACATGTCATATCACAAGCCCAAATCTAGTGCGGCCCAATATGAGCCTACTTCACATCATGGGCTAGCCCGTTGTTTGAGACATTTCTCTTCTAGGCCCAACCGGTCTAACACTTAGTCAATGGCCTGCTTAGTTATGCACTTATTTGCTGATAATTGAAACTCCGTGATCATGCTTGGTTACCAAATAGAATGGATTGAAAAAATTTTATATAAAAATAAATTAAATTATTTTTTTATGATAAGCATGATAAAACTTATTAATATATATTATAAATACATGAATTATCATACCTTTTAGAAATCTTATAAATCATAATTTTTAATTTCATGAACTAAATTACTTGTTAATATAATTTATTATTCGTTTTAATTATTTTATTTTTATTTTTATTTTTTTCAATCCATTTCATTTTATTTATTTTCAAGTAATCAAACATTACCTACTTTTAATTCTTTATCTGTCACAAATAATTATTCCCCTAGGATAGTTATTTCATTTTCATCGTATGTTGTTATTAATTATTAATTGATGATGGACCCCAAAAGCAACACTTCGTTCGACCCCGGACAAAAACAGGGCCCCCGCTCTTCTATAAAGTTAAGTGGAAAATAGTAAAAGAGCACCATCCTGGTTTCTACCAAGTCTTGTTCATCGCATCCAACTCTAATAGAGAAAAATTTATAGAAATATTTAACCGATCACAAATAAAATAGGAATATTATGCCATAACTTTATTGGTTAACACTTAACGTGCGTGTTAAAAAGAAAATGCATGATATGGGTACCTAAGCTGAGAGGAAAAGTAAACGCTCCTCACAACCTCAACTAAATATTGTGGTGTGTTCAATGTCTCAACCAACACATTTTCTACAAGTTCTGGACATAAATTCGAGAACTGAGTTCGCAGGGGTTGAAGAATCTTTGTGAACTAAAGATGACATGGACAATAGAGACATTATTCTAGTTTGGGCATTGATTGATCATCTGCATTTTATACCATAATCTATAAGGTTTCATGAATGATCAGATTATTTTCAGAACAGGCTCTTGCAGATCTCTTTCCCTCTCCAGTTGCAAACTCTCTGATAGATAAAGAAGTTATCTGTATTTTCTCTCTTGTCATTTCCTTCCTCGTTCATTATGCACAGTGCCGGTTTTTTTCCTTTCCATCTTCTCGACAATGTCCCTATCAGCATTCGTACTTTTCACTCTGAGCATGCAAAGCAGGTGTCCGTCGACCGGAGGACCTGAGGAAATTATTGATGAGATTTTCATAACCATTTAGGATAAGTTGAGAGGAAATTGGTCTCTCCTTAGTCTCAGCTTTTACGATTTTCAAAAGATTGTGGCTTCAAGTTTCGCACAGAACAGCTAGCACCAAGCTGAATGTGCGCGTCACTGAAACTGAAGTGATGTTTATAAGTGGGCTATGTTTTGCGTCAGAACCAGTGAACCTGGTTAGATATCGAATATGGCTTCATCATGAACTGTTTATACAATTTTGTCTTCTCTTTACCGAAAGAACCCAACTGTTAGGCTTGTCTGCTCTTCCATATCACAAGGATCACTTCGGGGAGACAACGAGGGCCACAACATAACCCACAAGCACAGTAACCAAGAAAGGTCCAAAAGTCTTGAAGTATAAGCTTGTATGTGGTCATAAGATCATCCCCACGACTTATCCATGTAGTTTCAATTTGTCAATAAGAAATTAAAGCACGAAATATTATTATGTTTCGCACTTGTCAACATCAGTATTTCTTAGGTTTCAAGCAATAAGTTAACTGATCTTTTTGTCTGCTAATTATTCACCATAATGTCTCCAAACTTGTAGATACTTCACTGTGCACTTGGAAAATAACCCATTCATCACCTAGTGACGTTAATCAGCACTAACCCGAAAAGACTTTATCCCCACAAGGTATCTTCTTTTGTGCAAGTAACAGAACCTGCCGTCTTAAGCCTCGCCATTATATAAGCGTCTGCTTTACGCTCTGTGCCGCATATTTCTGTTGTTTCTTTAGCCATTTATCTCCGAGTCCCTGTCAAGTTTTGTTAATTTTGAAGTAATGCCAAAGAACAATGAAAATGTTGAATCAGGACCACCAAGCAAGGTGGTGAAGAGGCTCCCCCCACAGAGAGGAATGGTCAAAGCCAAAATAATGAACCAGATTGTCAGAAAGGTTGAAGAAGCAGGAAGAGCATTGTGTGGCAAGGAAAAGGTGGCAGAAGAAGAGGCTCATCCTTCAAACCCTCATGTCTCCACTCACACCTGAGATCCCAGCAGCGAGGCATTATTCTTCTGTAATGGCTAAAATATCAACTTCACAGTAGCTCCACTTCATTTCTGTGGTTTCTTCAATAGTTGCTGCCTTCTATATGCCTTTTCCACAGTGCATTTATGCATATCAGTCTATCTCTGTCTCTGTGTTAATTGTGTCTTCGTTAATTCACATTAGTATGTTAGTCTCGTACCCAGAACCGTACGTTCAGTGCTTCCCTTTTCAACTTTACCTTTATGCAGGTTCTTTTTCTTGATGAAACAGGCTCTAGTTTTAGTGCAATTTTTATATTCTGCACAATTGTACTCGCTAACATGGTTTGTCTTCGATTAGTTGATGGCTGCAACAACGAGTTAACGTGAACGATGCTGTTATCGGGAAGCCAAAGAAAAACCCCACGATAACAAAGACAGTATTTGGTTAGGGTCAATATGATCCTCTGGGTATATACGTCAAATTTGATCAAATATTTCCATTTCAGAACTGTCATTTTCTGTGTTGGAATTTTCCAGTTATATGAACAAGAACAACCAACCAAACCAACAACGTCACGTGATTGGGTTTGTGGGAGGTCAAGGTTTAGTAATAACTTTCAAACGGCTTTTCTGCTAAAAATAACTATAGTTCGCGAAAGAACACAATTGCTTTAACTTTTTAACCATGTGTACGTAGGCATAACCATAAAGAAAGACAAGATTTTTAAAGACTCCACCGTCCTTCAATTTTTCCCCTTCCCATCATGTCATAATCAAGAAAATATTTTTGTTTCAATGCATGTGATTTGGATAAATTTGATTCTTAAATAAGAAATCAGGCAAGAAAAGAGAATAAAAAATTGCAGCAGAGTAATACGTTTCTGTTACATGGCATAATGGCAACTTTTGTCTCATCATGATGTCAAATGAAAAGTAAAATGCAAAAGTTTACCAGGCGCCACACTTCAATCACAAAATCTAAGTTTTCATATGAAGAATTATCGGAGGGAACTTGTCATTTCCTCATCTTACGGCAATAAAGCTATTCTTGTGTCATCTGCTTTTCAAGTTCTTCACTACCTTCTTGACAGTCACATATGCCTACTCTGTAATTTCATCATTATTTGTTGGACTAGAGCAAATGCTCACAACTCGTGCACTAAAACAGTGTCTTGACACGCGTTGGTTTAATTAACATCCCATTATGTTGGCTTTGGCAAAACCCATAAATATAGTCTGGCCATTTTCAAATAGCATGTCTTTTTGTGACAGAACAATCAAAGCAAAAAAGGCAATCACTGGGTTCCCGTAGTGGCGTGCAAGCTGTCTAGGAGGGCCCTTGATGCCTCCATTGGACCAACAAGTTCATTAATATTATGTGAGGTTTGCCTGCTAGGCAACTTACAAAAGAAACGTTTGGGTACTGTTTCGAATTAATTGCTTATCGAGTCTTGTTTTCTTAGCTTTACTCTTAATTTTTTTTTAGAGGAAAACAGAAGATTGAGTCCCCAATCAGGATAAGGAAAAATCATTGCAATCATGAGTGATAATTTGAAAATCATGCTTTAATATCAGTTTCAATCATCAATTAGTTTTGATGTTTTCTCTCTACATTTGGAGCTTGGACCTGTATGTTATTCAAACGAAGTTCTTATTTAAAAACAAAGGAATTTTTGTTTTGTTCATTAAAAGGTTTGATTGAATCGGTCGCATCTATTTGTATTCATTAGAATGTGAGTGAATTTTTGTTACTAATTCCTTGTTTGCGTGTGAATACAACATATACTCCTACGTCATGTCATTCATACTGTAACACACCAAAAATTTTTTTTTTAAATAATTTAACTCAATCATAGTTGGGTTACAGTCACCCAACACATTTTTATATCAATAATTTTAATATAAAATATTTTATAATTGGCTTCAACTCACACACTATAACATTTCAGATAAATTTTTACCTCCCACATACCATTAGGCTAAATCACATTTGTCCATCCTTATACTCCCAACAAGTAAACTAAATCACATTTGTCCATCCTTATACTCCCAACAAGTAAAATAAGCAATTTAGTCAATTTTCAACACAAGCCAGTTATTTGGCCTTATAATCATGCCATTTTAACCAATCCAAAGTAAACTAAATATTAAAATTACAGTCATCCAAATTGTACCAAAAATAGAAATAGTTTGAAAGGCATGATTACATTTATATATTCATATAATTGACAATAAACAAAAAGCCTTAGTATTGGCAATATAACACATTATAAATCATAAATTAAATACCCAAAAGAGACAGTGTATCTATACCACTAAGCCTCTGAGACTCCTCCACGTGTCACTCGTTGCTCTTCTCCTGAAAATTGTTAACCATATAATGAGACTCAAAAGTCCCAGTAACCAAAGCCAATTTATGATAGTGTATACAAACAGTTAAGTGTGTGCTTACTAAGTGAGAATTAAAAATAATATAATTTCAACAAATATAAGAAATATTACAATACACACAAACAACCATCCTTATATCCCTCCATTAACCTCGAGCCGTAGCCCTCACTCGGTGCTAAATTATCCGGCCAAAGGTAGATTAGCCCGAGCCCTTACAAGCCACCTATTGAGCTCCAATAGGGGCGTACCACGTGGCACATAAATACAACAACAATAGCAAGTCTCCCAACACCTCCCACAATAATCAAATAAATTTATAATAAT